TGAACACCCCCAAAATATCAACAAGGCTTGTATATGTCTCACTTCCCCAAAACAACAGAGTTCAACATGGTAAATAATTTTGTCACCCAGAGCATCACTCAGCCCTCACAAATCCTCAGATGAAGAGGTGATCCCTGCAGCATGACCGAAAAAGGCACAAACCTGGACAAATTAGCATGAAAAAAAAAAAAAAAAAAAAAAAAAAAAAAAAAAAAAAAAAAAAAAAAAAAATCCAAACTTACAGACCAAGAAAATATCCAAACTTACTAGATTTCGAAGAATGCATAATATTTTAAGGCAAAGCAGGGCAGCTGGAACAACAGACATAATATCTAAAATGTCAATTATTTTCACACAGAAGTATCAGATTTAGGGGATGTCACAGGAAGGTAGCAAGCAAGCTGAAATTGAGTTCTAACAGTGAAGTCAGGTGGAAAACACGTTCTTATCTTGGCAGGGCAGAGCCAGCCCACACCTGGGCACTGCACACCTTCCCCAGGGTGTGAAGARCACTGCATCCCCTGGTGCCATGCTGGGGGTGATGTTGGGGATGAAACACCATGGATGGATCACTCCTCCAGGGAAATTGCCCTTCAAATGCACAATTTATCACACAACTTCTCAGCTGCTGAAGCCTGGTGACATCTCAGCCCAAAGCAGAAAGGCTGCACAATGACCTCAGGTTTTGTGCAAAAGTAGAGTTAAGTTTAGAGCAGCACGTTTTGTATCTGCACACATGAAACACAGAGCATTGCTGCAGCCTCAGCTCTCAGCACACCATCCCAGTCACCACCATTATTGTACAATGCACTTACAACAGGAAACACCAGAGAAMCATTTATTTTACTGCTACCTGCTCCCTTACTCATGCCCAGATAATGCCTTTTCTCTTCACCTACASATCTCCTGATTTCATCAACAGAAGTTGAGCAGGAGAACCACAGGCAAAAACTGAACAARTTTTACTCAGAACTCTTTACACACAGTAAGTTTGCATCTAAATACTCACACAGGCAAAGGGTGATTTCATAAAATGATTAAATGTCTCAAAAATACTTTCATACACATAACTAAAGTAACACTCTAAACCACTCTGCAAAGCCATCAGAGATGTTACTTTACTGTTAGCACAGCTTTGTAGCACACTTCTCATTGATCCAGCCTTCTAGGAAAAAGCCATTTACTATTTTTGTTAATGTTAATGTCAAACAATGAATGTTTGATGCTATGCCACTCCAAAAGTCCACCAGCACTTAAATAACCCACTGCTGGTGGGTTATYGATTTTGCATATACTCAGATGCATTTCTTCCTTGCTCAAAGTTAACAAACATATGGATCCARAAAAGCTGAAAACCACATTGCTCAGACTCAAAGTAACTTTTGATAGTATTTTATTACCTACAGATGATTTTAYATTATTTCAGCTAAGTCATCCTGTYTTTAATCWTTTACTGCCCTTTCATCCTGCACCTCTTCTCCTGTTTCAGTGTCAAAACACAGAGTTAGCAATCCCTGCACATACAATCGAAGCAGCTCATGTTCCAACACTTACTCTGACAAAATTCACGACTTGATCTAAATAGATTAAAACTGGTCACTGAGAAAGACACTTTTTACAGGCACAAGAGCGTGCCCACGAGTACGTGAAGTACTTTTGAGCGTGAATTACAAGAGTGCTCTGCACAAAACCARAAACCTGCAATAAACCTGGTGATTGGAATTTCGTTCAGCTTGAGGGAAATRGGGATCCTGGCAGTGGTTCCTGTGCTGCAGTTATGGATTCATGAGAAGTTGCATAGAATYTGTTTATTTTTTATTATTTACATTGTGATTGGGGTTTGGGTGGCACTAGACCCAGCAGGAGCTGAGTGCACAATCCTTTCAGCCAAGAAGAAAAACTGGGACATTCAAAGAAACCTGGGATGTATCTCACCTTAGCATGGATTCAGCCCTTCATGGAGGAGAKTGTCATTTCTGGTAGTAATTCTACAAATCAGATAATTGCCCTGAAGTTTCTTAAATTTACATTTCAAAATTTTAAGGTCTGTTTTTAATGGTGTATCCAGTTTCACGTGTAAATAAATTTGTAAGAAAATTGAAAAGCTGGTCTTGCTTCCAACAGTTTACCTGATCTACATTAATCACRACAGTATTCTTTGTGAATGATTGGCCAAATGAATATTCTTCTTTCAAATGCATGTCATAGGCAGCTTACTGAAAGGAAACTGAACACATTGAGACCTAACAAACAAATGCCACTGTCCCCAGACCAATTCCACTGAAAACTCCTCAACTGGAAATCAACTATTCTCAAAACTAGCAGGAACTGGAAAGAAATATAATTTTCCTTCTTCAACAATAAAGACCACATGGAGGTACAAAGTTGACACAGTGTATGGAAGCTCTATTTCATAATAAAAACTTTTATTATTGAACCTACAGGGAGATGTACTCAGCTGGACCCTCATAATGTTACTGAGCTCATGTCCAGTCTGCCTGAGATCCATCTGCATATATCCATTTATAAAGATTCCACAGTTTGCCCAGTGCAATGGCTAATGAGACCCAGCATATCAGATTTTAACCTAGGTACCTGTAATTAAATTGTGCAATATTTGTAAATTTATAACACTAAAACTAAACCTGGTGAGCAATGTGTTAAATGTCAGAGCAGATCCATAGACAAACACATTGCTTGGAAATCTGRTTTTTCATTGCACTGTTCTCGAGGGAGGGAGAGCATCCACAACTTTCAATGTAACATTGTGATTCAGAAAAAAAGATATCTTTTTAAAAACCAAACCAAAGCAAAACTTTCTCAAATAGACCCTAAAGTCAAAAAGGAAGGAAATCTAATTCTTTATAAACAGCATGGGAGCCACTTCAAAATGTTCTGTCCATTCCTCTGTAAGAAAGGAAACCAGAAGGCAAGGAAAGGATCCATAATAAAAGGAGCAAATAACTATACCATATTCCCTGAATATAACAGGTTAGTGGAATTGAAGTGTTATCCTGCAGAGAATGGAAATTCACTCCAATATAGGGAAGGGAAAACAGAAACAGAAGGGAAAAGGTGTCTGACAGGTAAAATACAAGTTGGATATTAGGAAGGCAAAAAGCAGATAGCGAAGGACACAAAACCAAATAACAATAAAGCCTATTTGCATATCAGAAGCAGGAAACTTTGCAGGGAATCATTGGATTTGCTAGAGTTGGATTGAATAGAGCACTCAAAGAAGATAAGGGCATTGCAGACAATCCAAACTGTGTCCTTTCACCAGCCTTTGCTATGGAAAATGTTGGGAAAACACATTCCTGACTTCTGTGATAAAGCGACTGACATTTCTTCAAACCGAAAAATCAAAATGGGGTGAGGAAACAGAGTCAATTGAAAGCAATAAATGATGAGGGATGAGCTCCTGTCCCACTCCCATCGAYGGGTCTTTTACCATTGATTTTAGCACTGTCAGTATTTTGCCTCAGAGCTGAACAGGAACAGATTCAAAACACGAAAAGGCTGAGCTGAGCATCACAGTGGATTGTTCAGGGTGCAGCAGTGGTCACAAAAACCGAGTAAAATCACAGAATACAAAAAGAGCAAGAAACACTATCTTGTAGTCAATATCCAATCTCTTTGGGAGTATTTTTCAGTTTAAGATTGCTGTTATAAACCAATGACGGTGTTTGACAAGAGTTTGACAACAACCGAAACTTATTATGGAAGCAAATTTGAAAAGCTGGAAAGAAGCAGGAATTTAACTGAGCAGAGATGGATAAGAGGGGACACAGTAKAGCTGCAAAGAATACAATGAGATATAAGCAAATAGGATTCTCTTCAATTTAAACTTTCTCACAGTACTAGAGAAAAGGGCAGCTCAGGGCAATAAAAAGTTACCAAATTAAAAGGACCAAAACATTTTACTGCATAAAGCACAAAATTGTGTAATTAATTCACAGGGATATCTCCACAATAATAGCAAGGAATAGTCTTCAGTGCTTAAACCAACATAATGAAATTAGCAGCATGGCAACAAACATAAATTTTCAGAACAACTCATTTAAGGGAATGTGTTTTCCCTCTCCCTYGCCCTAATGCCTGAAACCTTTTAGGCTGGATAGTTGCCAGGGAAGAGGAGGTAAGCTGAGGCACAGAGCATGGCTGAGGCAGGGATGGGGAYGGCCAGGAGAAATGTTTCAAGCACTGCCTGTTCCGTGCTCCATCCTGCACACAGAACACAGGGGGTTGGGTTGATGGCTCAGAAATCTGCCAGSTCTTGGCACTGGATATATTGGGCCCCACTCTAGAATTAAGACAGAAACACTAAACTATCAATGTGTGAAATTTGTGACTTAAATTACAAGGTAGAGCCATCCAAAGAGTCTCTTGCATAATTCATGACACTTCAGAACTTCACATATAAATCAAATAGAAGGAAAGTCTATCATTTCTGCTCTGTTTAGCACAGATCCTCACACAACTTGGGTAATGGCTGCACAAACAAGCTCTCCAGAAAATACAGCAATATAGACATGCTCTTCACAATACTAATTCACACAGTAAATTTTGTACAGGATCGTTCAGTTAATACTTTTATTAAAACTACTTGTAAGTGTCAAAAACACAGAGGTCATTAAAAAYAATCAAACGAACCTGGTTTGGGTTTTTCGGTTGTTTTTTCTCCCCCTGCAAATGAATGCCTACAAACACTCATTTGCAATGTTTTTCCATGGTGGACTTAATTAAAATTTATGCTGTGATTCATGGGCTGGCTATTAATCACTTTGTCTGATACAGGTTCCACAAAGCCCCAGCACTTACTAAGAGGCTCCAAAACCAGTGCAAACACATTCTCCAGGTTCAACAGCAAACTCTGACAGACTTTCAACCTGAACAGTGACCGAGCCTGACACACACGAAGAGCGTTAAATGCGCCACGAAAACAAATATTATCGATAAACACACATAGAGCTTTAGAAAGAGCTGTAACCTTGACTTACTGTGGCTGTGCCGGAGACAGTTTGTGCATTTGTGTCAGCTGCACTCTGTTCAGAGTGTGTCTGAGCAGGAGGGTACATGTTTAACGTGTGCTCTGGAACAGTGGTTTGGCCTGTGTAGTCTGGAGCTGGATGCGGATGTGGGGCTGTGTATTCTGCAGGGATTCCGTTCTGAGGTGGAGCGAACTGGGCTGAGGCATAAGGCTGTGCCATTGTGTCAGGAGGTGCTGTAGCTTCCTGATTACCCTGTGGAAATCAGAGGGAAAAAAAAARRAAAAAAAAGGATAATAAAAAAAAGAGGAAGGAAAAACGTGGCATGAGATAAAAGAAGCAAAGTCCCACGCCCACGACATGGAGAGCGATGAGAGCATCCCGCTAAGATTGCTGCCCCCAAAAGGGCACCGTGGCTGTTTCTCCAGGAGAATATTTCTCATCTGAATTAAAAGCATTTCACTCACCCAATTAAATATTATTATAATTAGACAAACAAATCTGCAGCTGGCTGGATAATTGTAGACTATCCTTTAAGCAGGAAAGGTCAGTGAAATCTGCCTGGACTAACGATGCCTCAACTCTGACAAGAGGGACAAAGCCAGTTTATTCCAAATGCTCCTGAGCACAACTGCCAGCACAGAGCTCTGATAAATTTAGCCACAAGTCTGTGATCAGTCTGACTTACCATCTGCAGAACATGATATATGCAGGGCAGGATTGGGGTGCATACTGTTWAAATGCACTAAAAATRCCCYGAATAAATATATAGGAAATATAGGAAATCAAGCCCTGAGATATTCAGAATACTCTGAGACAACTGCATGCCACAAATGCAAAATCATAATGAGACCCAGTCAAAATATTAGCAATTATTAACTAATATATTAACTAAAATATTAACTACTATTAAATATGAAGTATTTGCATCTAAAAATGCATCAGTTCAAAACCTTAAATAACATAAACAAAAAATCCTATGTCAAAAGAAACAGATTTAAGAACTTTAAAGGTTTGACATTTGAAGACAACAGTTTTTCATTTCCATATCACAAGCTACAAGCCTGTAGCATTACAAACACATTCTCATGACCTTACAGACACATCCATTAATCCATCTGATATCATAAAGAATKATATCAGCCTGTTAATTTATCAATTAAAAAAACTTCTGACTAAATGCTTTGCTCACACAAAAAAGCAATAATTCTAAGGGAGGAAATGTACATAACAATCTTTCTGAACCCATATATGTAAAAATGACCAAAATGTGATTTTGCCTGAAACAGCCTTACAGGYCATTGGTGCAGGAACTATCCCAACCTCAGATGAACTAATTTACAAGACAAAATTATTCCTCTAAATAGCAAGTACTGGRAAAATGTGCATTTAATTTAATATTTAAATACCTTTTACACTGCTCCATCACTCTCCCACCAAAACATGTAGAAGTACCTGCAGGGATTTTATTTGTACTCATCAGTCCTTGATTTCCTAATTTTWAAATAGGCTGGATGAATAAAAGACCTTCTTATGCACTTTGTACTTGAGGGCTTTTCCAGCCAATTTCAACTAATTCAAACATCAGTCYTCTGACCTGAACTCATCCTAAACCCAAGAGCTTTTAAGAATTTGCACAGGAGTAAGTCTTGGCACTTGACATGCTTAAAAGAGAAAACTGGATTTTCCTTTGTAAAAGGCATTCAGCGAGTCCCAAAAAATTAGAACTTTATGTCAGCAGTCAAACCCTCTCAAATTTTAATCCCATCTTTGCTGCTGCTTCAGTGCATGGCCTTGAGCAAGTGGTTTCCTTTGCTTCATCCAGCCATCTTTAGCACAAAAATTGCCTTTTACTGACTGCACTGGGTTAAATCACCAAGCTTTGTTTTCATCTCTACAATCATTACAAGGTTAACGCTGCACTGAAACTGGCCCTGTTAAATTTCTGTGGAGTTTAAAAACTCTTGTAAATGCGTACTTTTGCCCTCTAATATTAAAACAGTACAGTCCCTTTCTTATTTCTTTCACCTAATATTTCCACTGAAAAAAAAAAAAAAAAAAAAACAAAACAGATGAAGCAAAACCCAGGAATGACTGGATTACACCTGAGACATTCATTAAATGCTAAAAAAGTATTTTAAAACTTATGTGGGAGGCAGCCGACCTTACATTTTTTAATCAGCTGTTTCAGGAGGGACTTGAGCAAGGGGTAAGGATGAACAAAAGCAAATCCAGATTCTGCCTAGATAAGCATTTCCACCGTGCTGGCTTTGAAACACAAGTTAGTGCTGGTCCTTGAGCTATTCCTTCGTGTCAGATGCTGAACATGGCATTGGAGTCAGCAGCTGGTAAAAAAAACCCAGCAATGGCAACAGAGGCACTGAGGGCTAAARTCCAGGTGCATCTGATCCAAAGGGCTTTGTACCACCTCCAGCCCAAAACCAGATGTTGCTGAGACCCCCCACTGTTTCTCATTAACCTCAACAGCATTTCCATGAGGGCCCTAATTAATATTCAAAGCATCCACACCTAGTGCTAATTACAGCTCATATTTAATTAAGAGGGTTGAACTTTTCCATTATTTCTACCTGCAGCTCCAAACTTTTTAGATTTACCATAAAACAGCCAACTGCCCTGGCAAATTCAGAACCTGCACAATGCTGAGACYCTTCTGCCCCTTTCATTAGGCTTGTTCAGCTGAGGTCTGGCTCACTTATTTATAACTGAGACCCCGTTAATAAGTAAACAGCCAAGGGGCAGGGATTTGTCTTTTTTTTGTTACTAACTTTACATATTCAGAGATTTACAGCCTTGCCATTAAAGAAACCAACCTCACTATGCTTAGAGCAGAAAAGTGACACAGGAGATTGCCAGTGCAGGCTCTGCAGGTTCATTAAGTTGGCTGGAGGACAGGAGACATTAAAGAAATTAAACTTGCACATGCTACTGCAGGCCYTAAGTTTAAAATGATGGTGACAATAAAACTGAGATGTTCATCCCTTAAAATAAGTGACTACTACAGCCTTTCCTAGCCTTTAAAATTAGTGTGAATTTAATATTCATAATTAATTCAACAGACACAGTATTACAATGTATTATAAAAGCATTTATGTAAAAACAAGCTCTTTACTATTTACTGGGTAATAAGAGCCAAAGATCATTGCTCAAAAATATTAATTTATATCAAGAACAATGAAGTGTCAACCATCACACATGYGGTTGATGGAAACCCCAGACCCCACAACAGTCAGATACACTTGAATAGATTTTAAAGAACCTAAAATTCCTTAAATAGAATGACCTAAAATGTTCCTTTATTGAGCTCTTAAAAATACAGTGAACTGAAATGAATAAAAGAAAGAATAGTTCTAATGCACTAAGCTGAAAATAAGAAATGGCCCTAAAAGCAACAGGAAATATTGATCCWAAATTAACCTATGAACTCAGGTTTTAGAGTAATTTCAGAGCTGTGTAAGACAGCACACAGGCATTGCTTAACACCACCTAGGCAGGAGAGGCTAAGCAGAAGTTATCCCTTCAGAGTCAGCTCCAAGTATCTTTGAGATTAAATGACCCCTTAATGCTCACTTGGTGCATGGTTTTTAAAAAAAGTGGTTGTTGGCAGCAGCAAGAAGAACAAAGGATGGCAGACAGTCAGGCTCTGCTAAATGTTCTGGCTCGAGTCTTAATGAAAACCACATTTCAACTGAAAAATATGCTTTACGTGGCAGTGTATAAAATCAAATTTATTGCTTTCTGGTTAAACGTTGAACTCTAAAGAACCAAGAGGAAAAAAAAAAAAAAAAAAAAGAAAACAAAACCACAAAGGATTCCGAGGCTGTAGGTAAGTGAAGGCTTTCCTATTCCATCCCTGTTACTCCTTTTGAACAGGAGCTTAGAATTTAAACTGCTCCTAGGATCTCAGATGCCTTTCCAGCATCTCCTGCTCTGAAAGGATTTCATAATTAAGAAATGTATAAAAAGTGTCAAAACATAATAAAGCAAGCTTGTTATGTTTGTACACAAAGGAGGGAGCACAGAAAACATTACTTATGCAGTGTTCCTTTTCTTAAAAACACATTTGCAGCATTAAAATGTATTCAATGAAAACCTTTCTGCCTGCCTGCATTTTAAAGTCGAGCTCACAGTTTATCGTTTGTTTTGCTCTATTTTCCGTTTGGTGCATTTTGTTTCTTTGGCAAGAGATATTTCACATTTCCAGAAAGCCTCCTGTACTGTAGTTAAACGAGCCAAACTGCATCGTATCCTCAGGGCGAGGAAACAAAGAGGAAAAATGCAACATTTCCCTGCAAASCTGCCGGTTCTCAGAGCAGCTCAGTGGCAC